ATTTTAAACTGTAAGTAAAAAAGCAGCTTTGTTAATTTTTTGTAAAATGGTGTTTTAATTCATTAATTTTTTACTCCAGTGTGCAAGGCACACAAAGGGAGTTTTTGTAGTTATTCGGTCTGTATGTCTGTATGTATATATGTATGACTTTTTCCACCAATATTTCAAGAACTGCTGGTCAGATTTCAATGAAACTTGGTACATAGGCGCTCTAGGACAATGTACAGACCTGATCGGTTTTGGGTTATAATGCATGATTAGTGATTTCCTTATTTGCATAATAATTAAATAAATTTTCGGCTTTTCCATTAATATGTACTAATTGACATTTCATTGAAACTTCTATGCTCTAGCTGTGATATTGTACAAAGTTTTAAATTAATATCTCGAGAACTAATTGCCTTAATTCAAGGAATATTGGTACATACATTCTATAAGACAACGCAACCACAGATTTACAATCACATTAATTAATTAATTAATTAATTAATTAATTAATTAATTGATTGATTGATTGATTGATTGATTGATTGATTTATTTATTTATTTATTTATTTATTTATTTATTTATTTATTTATTTATTTATTTTGAATTTTGAATTACTAGTAATTTTGATGAATATTTTTTTCTGAACTTTGATTTGAATTCCCTTTTTAATATAAATTTTTTTATTCACAGTACATCACATGTATCATATACATTTGGTACTTATTTTAAAACACAGAAAGTATTGTTACTAATCGACTGACTCGCAATGTTGCATTAAAATTACAGATTTGCTAAAGATATTAAAGAGTGGCTATGGCAGTATGCTGGTTACCATGGTTATTTAACATTTTATGGAATTGATAATAGTAGTGGGATGATGGGTACTAGGACTCCGTGCAAGGTTGGTACAAGCTCAGTTGCTGAATGACAGTTTTGGGAATGGTACTTATTAGTTTCTGTTCTGACGCTGTTTGAAAACAGGGACTTATTCATGTGTGTGTACGTCCATTTGTCTTTGCATGTATGCGTCCAAAAGGCTGTTAATTCAGTCATCTGCATAAATGCATACTGCTATCTATTCAGGTGTCAGTTTTAATTCTTTCATCATCAAAGTCAACTTTTCTCAGTACTGAGAACAATGAAAAGTAATTGCTATTTGGTCCAAAAGACTCCAGACTGCAACAGTGTTTGGTGGGCAAAGGGTTCAATGGGCTCCAGACTTCAACAGTGTTTGGTAGGAAAGGGATTCAATGGGCTTCAGACTGCAACGGTGTTTGGTGGGAATGGGATTCAGTGGGCTCCAGACTGCAACCGTGTTTGGTGGGCAAAGGGTTCAATCGGCTCCAGAATGCAACAATGTTTGGTGGTAAAAGGATTCAATGGGCTCCAGACTGCAACAGTGTTTGGTGGGAAAGGGATTCAATGGGCTCCAGACTGCAATAGTGTTTGGTGGGAAAGGGATTCAATGTGCTCCAGACTGCAACAGTGTTTGGTGGGAAAAGGGTTCAATGGGCTCCAGATTGCAACAGTGTTTGGTGGGAAAAGGAATCAATGGGCTCCAGACTGCAACAGTGTTTGGTGGGAAAGGGATTCAATGGGCTCCAGACTGCAATAGTGTTTGGTGGGAAAGGGATTCAATGGGCTCCAGAATGCAAGTGTTTGGTGGGAAAGGGATTCAATGGGCTCCAGACTGCAACAGTGTTTGGTGGGAAAGGGATTCAATGTGCTCCAGACTGCAACAGTGTTTGGTGGGAAAAGGGTTCAATGGGCTCGATTGCAACAGTGTTTGGTGGGAAAAGGAATCAATGGGCTCCAGACTGCAACAGTGTTTGGTGGGAAAGGGATTCAATGGGCTCCAGAATGCAACAGTGTTTGGTGGGCAAAGGGTTCAATGTGCTCCAGACTGCAACAGTGTTTGGCGGGAAAAGGGTTCAATGGGCTCCAGATTGCATCAGTGTTTGGTGGGAAAAGGATTCAATGGGCTCCAGACTGCAACAGTGTTTGGTGGGAAAGGGATTCAATGGGCTCCAGACTGCAATAGTGTTTGGTTGGAAATGGGTTTAATGGGCTCCAGACTGCAACCATGTTTGGTGGGCAAAGGGTTCAATGTGCTCCAGACTGCAACAGTGTTTGGTGGGAAAAGGGTTCAATGGGCTCCAGATTGCATCAGTGTTTGGTGGGAAAAGGATTCAATGGGCTCCAGACTGCAACAGTGTTTGGTGGGAAAGGGATTCAATGGGCTCCAGACTGCAATAGTGTTTGGTTGGAAATGGGTTTAATGGGCTCCAGACTGCAACAGTGTTTGGTGGGCAAAGGGTTCAATGGGCTCCAGACTGCAACAGTGTTTGGTGGGAAAAGGATTCAATGGGCTCCAGACTGCAACAGTGTTTGGTGGGAAAGGGAGTCAATGGGCTCCAGACTGCAACAATGTTTGGTGGGTAAGGGATTCAATGGGCTCTTGACTGCAACAGTGTTTGGTGGGAAAAGGATTCAATGGGCTCCAGACTGCAACAGTGTTTTGTGGGAAAGGGATTCAATGGGCTCCAGACTGCAACAGTGTTGGGTTGGAAATGGGTTCAATGGGCTCCAGACTGCAACAGTGTTTGGTGGGAAAAGGGTTAAATGCGCTCAAGACTGCAACAGTGTTTGGTGGGAAAGGGATTCAATGGGCTTCAGACTGCAACAGTGTTTGGTGGGAAAGGGATTCAATGGGCTTCAGACTGCAACAGTGTTTGGTGGGAAAGGGATTCAATGGGCTCCAGATTGCAACAGTGTTTGGTGGGGAAAGGGTTCAATGGGCTCCAGGATACAACAGTGTTTGGTGGGAAAAGGGTTCAATGGGCTCGAGACTGCAACAGTGTTTGGTGGGAAAAGGGTTCAATCGGCTCCAGATTGCAACAGTGTTTGGTGGGGAAAGGGTTCAATCGGCTCCAGATTGCAACAGTGTTTGGTGGGGAAAGGGTTCAATGGGCTCCAGGATACAACAGTGTTTGGTGGGAAAAGGGTTCAATGGGCTCGAGACTGCAACAGTGTTTGGTGGGAAAAGGGTTCAATCGGCTCCAGACTGCAACAGTGTTTGGTGGGGAAAGGGTTCAATGGGCTCCAGGATACAACAGTGTTTGGTGGGAAAAGGGTTCAATGGGCTCGAGACTGCAACAGTGTTTGGTGGGAAAGGGATTCAATGGGCTCCAGACTGCAACAGTGTTTGGTGGGGAAAGGGTTCAATGGGCTCCAGGATACAACAGTGTTTGGTGGGAAAAGGGTTCAATGGGCTCGAGACTGCAACAGTTTTTGGTGGGAAAGGGATTCAATGAGCTCTAAACCACAGTGTTTGTGATGCATATAGATGTGCATTATTGTGTTGCCTTTTAAGCTGTCACAAAAAAGTAATTTGAGACATTCCTACTGTAAATGCATGACTATGATTGGATGAGAGATCATAAACCATCAACCATAAATCTAGTTGATCCTGGAAGCACCGGCCTGTCCTTAATTAGTCCTTACTGATGATATCATTTGTGGATGCATGTGTTAAGTTAATGTATGTAATATACGATACATTTGGATTAGTTGGACGTTTCTATATGATTTCATAAATTGTCATTATTTGCCACCAGGGGGCGCTATATGCTATTTTTAGGTCTCTGTATAATTATATACTTGTACAGATAGATTTTTCTGTGCAGATTCTAGTTCTGTATTTATTTGTTTTCATTATTAAAGAGCTTGTATCTTCTGTTATAGGATTGTCATTACCGTCCACCAACTTTACCTCATGCACAACATGGCTGGTTAAAAAAAGAAAACACTCAGGTATGTTTTAGGTCTAATAATCTATTAATTAATAATTCTAGTTCTCTTGTCTATTTCATTTCTGGCTATCAGACGTGTCCCAACAAACTATGTGTCTAGAATGGCAGTGGAAGTATATATAACTACAACATTTATCCCTAGTATGGATTAAACTTCGGTTTTCATTGAATTTAATCCTAAATGTTTATTGGCTTCTTATTTGAGCTGTGAAATAATTGGTTTTGTGTTTTTTTTTACATATACATGTATTAACAATTATTAAGTTGAGTGATGATTCTTCATTTAATATTTTATCAGATTGATGTAAATACATGGAGTGGTCTGTGTGATGGCAATGGTATGTTACATGATTATTTATTAAATTTCACTAAAGAGTTTCTGCAACAGGATCACCCTGCTAAATGGGCTGCCATAGATTTGAATGCTGGCCACAGGTATGTATAAATAAGGTAAACTGTTAGAAATAGGCTTCCCTGACTGCCATAGACATGAATGCTGGTCGCAGATATAATGGGTTATCATAGATTTGAATGCTGGTTACAGGTTGTAGTCCCTATTAAATGGACTCATGGACTTAGAATCTGACCACAGTTTAGTCTCTGCTAAATCAGCTGCCATAGAAAGAAATGTACATACCAATGCCACATGTACGTACCGGAAAATGGCTGTAGTCCATGTTAAATTCTGATAAGTCTCTGCTGAATAGCATTTCAGCAATTTTAATAATTCTGAATAGATTAATATATGCTTACATGATATATGTTAATCTGTTTTTCAGAGCAGAAGATGAATCTATCAATCAAGTTGACAGAGAGTTGGCAGAATTTCTTAGAAGTGTGTTATCAGAAAATAACAACCTCACAGTGGTATGACCTCACTATTTTCTACACATGCTTACCTCATACATTCACATGTAAATGCATTATAGTGTTATGAGAAATCAAGGTTTACAAATTTGGAGGATACTAATCAAATGTTGCTTCATTTGAACATCAAAGTTTATTGTTGTCACATTCACATTCACAGAATAAAACACATACCGGTAGTATGTAAAAATATGTTTTGTTATAAATTTTTTATGAATTTCCTAAGCAATGGAAATGATTTGGTTCAAAATTAACTTATGTAGCAAAAATGGGTTTTGTGTTCAAAGGTATTAGCGATGTATATTTCATCTATTCTTTTTCAGTTTATCTTAGGTGACCATGGTAAAACGTACCAATCATTTCCATCGCATATTGGTGGTTATTACGAGACTCAACTACCGTTTCTTTCAATTATTTTACCAAATAAGTTGCTAGATGAAAATCCTTCTATGGTAGATGTACTTATTGTTAATCAAGAGAGATATATTGTAAGTTCATGTCAGTTAAACTATTTCTTCTCTGAGTGCAAGTTGGTTTTTATTTTTTTAGTAAACTAAAATAAATTTCCTGTTAGTAGTATGTTCGTGTGTATCTTTATAAATTTTCTACGGTATTTGGTTTTATCAATAAATTGTTTGTGATACTATTTTTTTCTAGTAAAACTGTATAGAGATTTTTAAATTTGAATTGTCAATTCCACAAATAAATTACAGATTTTGGTTTAATTCATTATATTTCTTGATATAAAATTCTGTAGAAATTTCTTTCAACATTATTTAGAAATTCAATATATAAACTTACAGTTGCAGTAAGTGTTCTGTGCCTGTATAGGATGAGAAAACCAGATACCGGTATATGTCACCCTCTCCATAACCATACAATCTCAGCTGTAACTTACATGTTACATGTATGTACAGGCATCTGAGAACATGCTTGGCTGGGACTAAACATGCTTGGCTGGGACTAAACATGCTCATTATGTTACATATAAAAAAAAATTCTTTATACTGCTTTCACAGTACTGTGTCAGCAAGTATGTACTCAAACGAGCATTTTTCCTCCATGTATACAACCATATATTAGTAAATATATTTTGTTGAATAGTAGCAATAATTTCTTTTTTTAATACCACAGGTGCAATCTGATTTACATAAGACTATGAAGTCGCTGATTCAGTACCCGCTAGCTGTTAGTGGCTCCGTTGCTCCACAAGCAATCAACATACTCACTGATATTATTCCAAGGTGAAATTATTATTCTATATGGTACCATCTTTACAACATAAATCAAATCGGAAAATATTTTCATAGTCCTATTATACGAAATAGACACATTAAAATTAAGAGAAAGTAGAGGGCTATTTACAATATACATGAGTGAGTGTGAGATTATACAACCAGTAGAGAATAAATCACATACATTTACTTTGCTGTATGTGTTCAGTGAGTAGCACATACACTTAAATGATACTGGTATGTTGATGATAAAAAAAAAGTTATATTTTAATGACTCAGTATACAATAAATGCAATTAATCAGACATACTAAAAACTTCTAGTTGACTCATTGCGTCTTGTGTTCTTGTCACAGAAACCGTACATGTGAGGAAGCTGGCCTTCCATCTTGGAGTTGTGTTTGTGGGACAATGAAGGTAAGTTTGCATATATGTACTACAATAATTGTGAACAAACAGCATACTTAATGAGCTCATTTGCATAATTAATTTGTTTATCTTATTACTATCACCAATCATCAGGAAAATATGCTTTACATACATGCACAGTTAATTTTTCAAATTCTTGATAGTGCTTTTTGCAAATCTGATTTTCATATACTTTTTTTGACCCACAAGTATTTGTATCCTGCAAAATTAAAATTGTTTACAGAATCCTCATTTTCACACGGCCATATTTCTGTTAAAAAAAAATAACTTTGTGAGATGGCCTATGCTATCTGATATAATGTTTGTAGTTAATAACTTTATTTGCATATTTCATTTATTTGGAGTTCATGTTATTATTAATCTTTGATAAAACATTTGATTTTGTTTATATGTACAGCATTTCAATCTATTTTAGGCTCATATGCATATTTTAATATTTTCAATAATTATTTGTTAACCCTGAACTTTCACTGTCAATAAATATCGATGTTTTCAATCATATTTCTTGCCTGTGACATTACTGGCCTCGGATGTCATAACATCTAAGACAATCAGAATAATTGTTGTAGACAAGATGATGGACACATTGAAATGCATTTCTTAACCAAAGTTTAATTTTAATTTCAACCCAGAAAGTTTGCACCTCACTTTCTACCTTGTTTCCTTTGGGAATAATGAAAAAGTTATTGACCTTGGCTTCAGCCTATATCACAAATTATCTTTTTTGTTGTCTTATTTAGATGTTTTCGTCATCTCTGTGATGTCTTCTTTCAATCTTTGCTTTCATCAGTGCACAGGAGACTTGCTAACTTTTTCTGATTTTTTTTAGAAAATGAGCGATTTTGAATGGCAAGAAAAACACACTAGGATGGCTCAGTTAGCATTGGATTTTGTGAATGCTAAGCACAAACAGGTGAGACTCATGTCATAGCATACTGTAAGACTTAGTCATTTCCACGAAACGAAACGAAACATGACAGAAATAAATTTGTCACGAATATTTAGTTTCCACCTCTTTTCTGCCTACTTTGCAGCTCGATTCATTTGTGCTGACATGGCGCGACAGCCATTTTGGAATTGTTGAACACTGATGGCACTATTCATTTCGTGTTTCACAGTGTAAAATTTTGTCAGATATTATTAGGCCAATGAACAAAAATGCGGGTTAGGGTTAGGGTTTCATTTCGCTTCGTGGAAAAGACTAAGCCCACTGTACAACTGAACATAATATACACACTAAAAACACAAAAGGTAAGCTCATGTAAATATACTGCAACAATGAACACATAGGGGAGAGGCTCAGATAATATACAATTTACTGCAACACAACACTAAAAGGTAGAACTTGTGTGGTAGAAAACAACAAAATGGTGAGCTATTGTAATAAACTACAATACAACTGTAACACTAAAATTGTGAGACTAGTGTAATATACTGCAATGCTGAACACAAAATGGTAAGGCTCATGTAACAGTATACTGCTACACTAAACAAAATAGGAGGCTTTGCAGATAATATACTGCAACACCACACACTAAAAAGTAAGGCTAAACTGTGGGCTCATAATATACTGCAACACTGAACACAAAAGGGATAATCTCACATAATATGCAACACTAAAATGTGAGCACCACTAAATATTATACTGCAATATGTTAAAGGTGCATGCTCACATATTATCCTGCAACACTAAAAGATTAGACCCACTTACTATCGTTTCAGTCATTCTTTGAACGAGTATGTTTAACTAAATATTGCTACTCTCAGGCTCACATGCAACATTGAAAGGTGGCACCCACTTACTTGTATACATGTAGGTTAAATATTGAATTTCCAAATTATACTCAATATAAACCTACATATATCAATAATATGTATAATCTGTGAATGTTATTTTTGTCAATTAACTGTATTTACTCCTGAATTATTTGTAGCTAAAAAAGAAGAATATTAGTTCATGCTTGGATCTGCATCTCAGTAAGATAAATCATATATTCATGAATGAGAATCCTTCATCAAATTCTGAATGGACCACGTTATATCAAATTACTTTTCAAACTATAGAGAAGCTCACCACATGGCAGGCTGTGGTGGATGATTTGTTTGACATAAAACAGGTATGTTCATGGTAAATTTAAGGTAATGCTACCTTAATTTAAATTGTACATTTTTGCACATATATGCAATGCATTGTGGGAGATAACTTTTTTTTGTTTAACATTTTTCATCTCATGTCAGCAAGCAAAATTTTGAGATAGGAAAAATAATCTCACATAGGAATCTGTGTAAAAATGCCAATTATGACCATTGTCCAGGCAGGACATATCAGACTCTTCTTTCAGGGATATTTAAGATTACAAATCACAGTGACTTTTGTGCAGTTTTGTCTTCACTTTATCACGAAATTGTGAACACTGGTATCTGCCAAAATGTTACTATTTACAGTATTTCCCTCAACAAGTTGTTAAAATTGTACTCCAACAGCATTCATAAAGCTTATTTGGGGTCTTGAGATTATTTAACAATGTGAATTTGCACAACTTGAGGGATATGTATAATAAATTTATGTTTAAATGCCATTTCTTTTTTAATGCTGGTGATTGAGTGTGTGTTCAAATTAGTATTGTGATGCACTTGGAATCATAAGGATTCACTTCTTTACTGCAACACTGTGGGCTGCACTAATTGGGAATTAATTATTACGTCAGAATCCTGATGAATCTTTGTTTTTTCCCATTTGTAAAATCTGTCAGCTGTGTGGTACATATATTGCACTTTTATTTCAATAGACAATGTGTTAAACATCTACCATAGAGATTGGTATAAACTAGAATGCAAATATTCTTCAGTATCTGTTAATGTTTGTTTGCTATAATTGGGTCTGAACATATTGTTTTGATTTCCATGTCAACAGGTGAAGCATGTGAGCTTATATCAGAGGTTTGAAGTTTGTCAGGATAAAGAAGTCCCATTACAGTATTGTGTATGTGATCATCCTACCAATTGACATCATGCAAGATATGGAGTATTAACCCACTATATGATGTGTACTCTTGTATTTAGTTTATGAGACCGATAGCTCACATTTCTCAATCAGGAAAATGCCTGGTTGTAACTAGCACTGTGCACTGTGCTGTACAGTATGAAGTCAAGTTTTGTATAAAAATAATGTTTATAATAACACGCCCATATTGAACATGACATGCCACGATGACATGTATCATTTTAAAAGATTCTGGATTTGAAACCATTTAAACAATCATGGATATGAGTCTTATTACTTCACTGGTATGGGAGAATAGCATTACTGTTATCAAAATTTCTACAACTCAAAATTCACTTACACAAATGCTCATGTTTCAGCAAGTTAAGAAATTAAAACAAACTAGGGGTGTTTTTAATATGACAAGTGCTCATCACAGTATGATATACATGTATATGTTGGATTTCTAAATTATTTGATTATAGATATTTTTATTCAAATGTATTAATATAGATATATTTATTAAATTATCGAATTTCAATGTTGTTTTGTCAATTACTGAATGTTGGACAACTCAAATAGAACTAGAAGGCACTTTTAAAATAGAAACCTCAGCATACTTATTTTTACTAATCTACGTACCATATTGGATTAATGCCATTCATCTTGCCTTGCCAAACGGATCAGGTCTTTTGGGCCATGTTTCAAAAGCAACTGTTTCTATAAATTTCAAAATTTGTTCCTAACTTATTATTCAGAGTTATGGGGGAACCAGAATTGTAATTGCATATTACATCGTATGACATGGTGAGAGTGTGTACAAATCCATTGTAATCTCAGCAGTCGCTGGGTTGGTGTGGCTTGTTAGCTTGTTTATATATACATTTTGTAGCTTCACTTATGTGTTGGCTTCGTATATAAACACAACGTTCAGCACCATCAATGAGATTTTATTGACAAACCTCGTTGATGGTGCTGAATGTAAACTTCAGTTGACCTCGCTATGTTGTGGAATCCGGAAAAAGGGCCTGAAGCATGCACACTGCGTACACAATATTCTAATAACTTCAATGAGGTTATGATGTAGACATATCTTATAAATATTATTTTAAAGTGCAGTTATTAATAGAAAACATTTATTATGAAACACCAGAATCGTGTATATTCAGTCTCGACACCCACTCTGTCTATTGTACTAAACTGGTCACCAAATTTAACACTGCTCGCCAGTATACAGTGCTACCACTTGCTGTTGCCGGCACCATGTGTCTAGCAATGGTGAAGAAACCTTCCAAATATGGCATGGCAAGCAAAGGGACCACATTTCGTGGTATTATTAATAGCCAAATTTGATGCCATATTCAGATACTAGTCATAATACAAAGGGAACTTCCTAACAGAAATCGAAATGAAATATCCTTGTTTCAGATACAAAAATATTAAATCATGATAAAAGTACAGAGGTCTCAACATATTAGTTCTAGAAAAAACATTTCCATTGTTTACTCTAAAAAAGAAAAATTAAACAGGTTCAGTTATACAAACTTTTAACACATTTATCATAAATGTGGTCAGTATTTTTCCAATTCAATAAAACAAATAATCAGTTAGTTATAAAATATAATAATTCTTCAAAATTTTCACTGTCAATATGAGCAATAACAAGTAATTCATTATTGTACATCAAAAGAACAACGGACGAAAATGTTATTTCAAATGTTCTGATTGGATTTTAACTATACTAGACAACTTATAAACATTTGGAAATTCTCACAATAATATAATAATCCTTTCATCAATAATTATATTTTTTATTTATTTGAACTTGAATTCAAAGAAACCACAGAACCAAGTTTTGCTCCATGTCTTCCTAGAATTTGACGCTTTCCAGTAAACTGTATGACAAGAGAGATGACTTTTGATTTTAAAATTACTATAACAAATTTCCCCCCTCTTTGTAGTAATAATTCTATATGGTTGTATACATTTCTCAGCTCATTGTACCTTGTTTCATACCTCGCTGTGAAGTATCAGTTGTCTCGTTTTCTAATGTCCAACTTTTTGGATGCAACTACTTCTATTTGCCAATGGAAATAATATATTTCTTTAATTTGGACGACGATGTTTTGCAGTTTAATATGATGTCATTTATTGGGTTCAGAAGGAGTTCTGCCACTGCCACCTGACCAGGGGTACGCCAACCGATACCCCTTATTTACGAGGTATTACGTCAACTCGCTGGTGTCCGTCGCCTTGGAAGGAGGTTATTCAACTGCGTGTTTAAGTCAAAATCCATCAAACATTTAAAAACATACAAAGAAGTGATTCAGCGTTAGTTCATGGCAATTGTCTGCATTTCTCGTCCAAAGACACACCAAGCTGTATCATTCTTATACGAAAGTTTAACATGTTAGTATGGACAAAATAAATCAAATTACAGCAGTTCTTGACTTTTTCGAACAGCTAGTTAGTAAACGGGATTGCAAAGTTTGGCAAAAACTTGTAGTTTGATTTGGTAGACTTGCGTCGAAGTTTTATTGGTCGCCATGCTATCTGGGATTCACTATTTCATAGGGCGCGGGCAGTCAACACAATATATGTAGTGATACGCATTTAATATCTACTCATTTCTTTATTTATATACATTATAAATATTTCGAATAATATTACAATGCAAAATCACAGTGAGATTACTGACAGAATATTGTAAAATGTGTAACACTTGGTAATTTTAGTCAGTGATAGAAAATGTGGACTGATCCGTTTCTGACCTCCGTTTTTTTGTAAACCGTGACACAAAATACTCTTAGTAGTATGACGTCACGTTTAAATACCAATATTGACAGTCGTCTATGATTCAAAGAAATATTTTACCATGCTTCTTTCGAACGTGGCAAAACTAATTTGTTCACGCAATCGGAATATGGATTTGACAAAAAAAAAATGTGTGCATTACATTTAGTATGAAATTGAATTTATATACATCGTGGTCATGTCAAAAAAAATTACACCAATCAAGTCTAGATTGGTCAAAAACCAGAATCGCTGTAAGAAGTGATCAAGCCATATACTTTACAATGGCCAATCCACGTTTCACACCATGAGGTCATAAATGTATCGATGAAAAATGAGCAATTATTAGAACAAGGCATTCAAAGAAAATGCGTACAATACATAGAGCTAATAGATACAATATCTAAAAATAAAGACAAAACACACATAATTGAAATTATCAAATTGTTGATATAATTTTAAGTCAGCAATAAATTCCTACTTGGCAATCGTGCGTATGTTGGCAATAGACGCTGAATAAGACGACATAACGTGACACTCCTGCACGTGATGCTGAGAAGTTAAATAATGTCACATGATAATATTAATCAGTTGCTGCAAAACCATTCCAGTCCAAAGATGACATAACGTATATCTCATGCAACTGTGTTCAAACGTGGAATAACAAGTTTGCGTAAAACTGTTGCAGAATAAACTGTCCTAGTCTAAATATGACGTAACGTGACAAAGAATAAGATAATAACTTAAATCTAGTGCAGCATAAAATATCCCAGTCTAAAGACATGACACACGTGCATGTGGTGTTGTGACGTAGAATGAGAAGATAACGTGGATCATAAACTATCTCAGTAAAGTACAGTCGTACATGTGGTGTCGTGGGTTAGGCGCAGCTTAAACTGTTCCACTCGAGTATTTGCATCCAAGTGTTGCTTTCATTGAAATGCATGCCACTAAATGAGGCTGAAAAAACAAAAACAATGAAAATTATTACGTCACCACTGTTAATGTAACTATACAAATGGAAAATGGGGAGAGGCTCGAATCATAATGTATTTGCATCTTTCAGCCATGAAATTTACAAGTTTTACATAATAGACTTGTTAAAATGGCGTTGTTTACTCCATCGAAGCCCCTTTATATATAGTCGTTGACATATGAAACCTTAGACATCCCTGCATTATATCACAATAACATCGTATAATTTTATTCGAATATTTCGAGTTTATAAAAACAGTAATGGTCATTATCTGATCTCTGCCCAATTGAGATAAGTTGTATAATACAGTGTTGAATATTCCAATGTTATAAGTTGTGTTTTTTTGTGAAGATGAATCATACGTGGTGTATTAAACATGATATTCATTCCGTAAATTTAATTTAATGTATTGTAATGTTTCCCATCACACGCACACATCCTTTTCTAATCGTGTAAACACATCTCTGGAATATGTTACATCCACACATTTTAGGGGATTTTTAAATGAAATATTTTACATTAAAGTTCGAGAATTTACCTGACTTTACAAAACTTGTAAAAATGTTTCTTTATTAAAATTGACACAGTTGACAACACCTCACTTAGTAATGAACACAATTAAATTGGTTCATTATAAAATTACCGAAAAATGTCGTATGACGAAATATACTAGTAACAAATATTTTCTTGAAGCAACTAATCAAGGATAATATACGAACATTGCATAGTAAAATTAATACTCACCTCCCCATCGATCTAATACGAATAAATCAGGGATTATGTCAGAATCAACTATATTAAAACCACTCGTGGAGATGTATGGCACCTCTATTGCTGACACAAAGTTAGAATAATCCGTCTGTATAATCTCCCATTCATAGGAGGATATCTGGCTCCATGTTTCTCCGCCATCTTCACTAGATATATAGTGCATTCTATCAGCATTCTCATTGGAAAGCCCATATATGCAGTGGGTTTCTCTATGGTAGCCTAGTATATTTCGAACCATCCCATTCAACTCTAAAGGAAATTAATTTGAAAAATCATATTGAATGAAAGAAAATAGTTTTTAATATTGAACACAGTATTATTTGAATTATTGTTATATTTACTCCCAGATAATACATAAATACTTAGGTATCGTATCCGATTTGTACGTATATGCTTCTACCCAGGGTTGACATTTTACAGGCAACAGGTGACCGTCACATGAAGCTGGGTATATGAAAAATGCTACCAATAAGGGTATTGCCGCTTATTGTGAAAATGATACTTGTATGTTCGTATGCCGAGGAGAGGAACATGACTTGGGGTCCGCAGCTTCCGACAATATAAAATAAATATACACATTCATATCCCAGAAAAAATGTTCTCCGTCAAACAAATAGTGTGGGATTTTAAGTTCAACAACTCGCACTAAAGTGATTTACATCAGCATATGTAATTTCAATCGAGTACACATGGTAGGTATCAGTTCTATTCTATTTTTAGAAAATGATGAGTTGTAACATACACTTTTGGGGGGATATATAATATAAATATTATGAAAGACTTACTTTTCCATGATGACCCATCAATACTAGAATAACATTCCCATTGCTTTGCTCTACATCATATAATAAAAGTGTTCAGTTATAAAAACTGTGACCCATGTTTTGCCGGGCTTTTTTGTAAATAAACATGATAACGGATTATATTCATCAAATATTCAAGGGGCTGCGAGGCAGGGACCAATAGATTATATTCTGGGAAATATTCTGAAAAATTCCGGTTTTTCTGTGAGTAGAACAACTAAAAAAGTTATTGATTACATCCATTCTCAGGAGATGCCTCCTTTCCAACAACGGACAGTCAATTAGATTGTTCCGGTAAGTTATCAGTATTGTAACATTGTAAGTATAAATAGTAGACTTGTCGATGAAATGTCGATGTCGATGAAATCAACACCACTGACTCACAGCAAGAACTCTTGCTATCACAGTTGTTAAAAGCAGGAGTTTGATTTTTATAATACATTGTTTCTAATTTCTAAGTGAATAATATTATTTATTGTAATTTCACTCTCTATAATAATTGTCAGGAATCGTACCTGATTATTTTTCTATATGTGTCTTCAGTGCCTTGTAACAAGTCCCCGAATTGATAATATCGTGAAATATCACACACATACAGGGTACGGTTATCTACATCCAGAACAAACCCTCTATCATACTCTTCTGGACTGGTTGTTACTATTGAATCCTCACAGCTGGTGTCTGACGAAAAAGCAAAAAACAAACAAAAACAAGTTTATGTAATTAGACCGACCAAAAAGTCCTCAGCATCGCCGCTCATACATTTTCTGATTTTTAACTTCATGATATGAAATGATATTTCAGTACTGCGAACTGTCGATTTCGATTCTTCAAATTACGTTGACGATTACGCATATAGGTGGATGTATGAATACCACAATCTGTTTGTTAATACGGTGGTAATAAAATAAAATGAAACACTGTCTGTAGAATTTGTATTCATCCAATTAAATGTTATGGTAAGGAACTGTGACTGAAACATTGAGAACATTTTAATACTGGTTGTTGCAATTAAATGTAATCCCAATAATATGGCCAAATGAGAACGTTTTTGTATTCCATGTGTCTAGGATATCACTGCAAACTAAATAGCAAATTTGTGATCTCGTTGGTGAACAGGTAATATAACAGGTAGCAGATACTCATTATTTTGCAAATAACCATATATTTTTCAAATTACAAATAATCATATACTTTGCAAATTACAAATATTCAGTATGTCTACTATATATCGCATCAGTGCGAACAGTACGTTTGCCGGTAAAATCGAATGATTTGATTTTGAACTTGAATTTCTGTTTTATAGTTCATTGGATAACACGGCGTTGAGATAGATACCCTTACTTCATCGAATATTCCCATGTTTATCTAATCCCACGCGATATTTTGTCGTCACCGGCCTTTTTTGTCCTTTGAGTTGACAAGTATCAACAAATTGTACATTCTACATTCATTCGCTTTCAGTCACAGGTACAAGGAATGACCGTATAAACCAAATACCTGGTAGCATTCTTAATAACAGTGCAATCTAACTGACACTATTTATTTGTGATAAAATGAAAACCTCATACATACATAATAACAGTTATAACACACTGCACGAATTCAACACATTATGTAATACATATGCACAATATTTTATTTATCCGCAATTACATATTTATCATTCACCCAGGTCTTAGTAGGGACGAATGCATATGTAACAGTGACTTGTCATACCGGTTGGTTTTCTTGATCCACAGTCTAGGCAATCTGTGCCATGATCGCACAAACTGGTTACGTAGTCCTGGCCTCCATCATCGCACTCTCCGTCGTTGCTGTATTTACATTTTTCAGAACAAAATTCTAAACAAATATATTATAATATTGTTGTCATATAATCTACATTGTAAAATTGTTGTACTCGTATGCTTTCGAATTTTAGTCAACATATACATATAAGTATCAAAACTATAGTCTCAATCGAACACTGAATAAATTATCCCGCCTCATTATTCATATAATACAAAACAACATAATCTAAGGATATAGGAAATATGCCGCATATATCTGCTTGTGGATGATGACAGTGTACTATATCTTGTTTTTATTCTAGGTGACTGGGATATTCGCAATGGCTGCAAGGACTCATTCGGAAACTAGGTAAACATAACATGGAACAGCATAGGCTCATTCGTTGTAAATTGCATTTCCATTCTATAGATCTATTGCACCGCATAAGCCTGGGTTCACCTGCCATTTGTAATGGGATGACTATATCAAAATATTATACATTCTACAAACACACGGGTACAGAGAAGTGCCTGTTAATAGCAAGTACCTGTTAGCATTCTTAGTCCACAAGTCTGTACAGTCGGTGCCGAAGTTGCATATAGAGGTGATGTGTCCATCGCCCCCATCATCACACTCCCCATCATCACTGAATCTACAATATTCAGTACATACTATGACAGAAAGAAGACTTTTAATAAAGTTTATTTGGTCATGTTTAATGTAAGGCAAAGGCCACATATATTCCCGTGGCAGTGCACAAGTTTACAAAATACATCGTTCTGTTACGTGTTCTTCTAAAAACTAAGTGCACTATTCATGGTATGTCGGTACAACTGGTCTAATAGTTTAGTGTGTACACATTTCCATAATCGTTATTCCCTCCCAAAGTTAGAATTCTTAGTTGATTCTAGTGAGTCCATTAAGTCTTACACCACCACATCAACACTCTCCATAAAACAATACGTCATATATCTACAATAGCCACTTCACAGTAACGCATCACCCAGCCTACCCATCACTTAACTAAAACAAACACTATTTGAATAACATCTGCTTCTTATCACATAAAATAATATACAATCAATTCCAAATAGTGTAAAATACTTTTTTTAATATGACCGAATTTGTACTTAGCAATTATATTTGTTCATGTTTTATATCAAACATCGCCAATCTGAATGCGCCTTAATCAATGATCAAATCAAAACAAACTGTGTTTCATATCCAAAATATATTTTGTGATGATATGATATGATATGATATGATATGATATGAT